GTGTGGAGAGAGACTGATTAATAAGTCAAACAGAACATGTTCGTTGTACCTTTTACTAACAGCAGTATGTAGGCTTGAACTAAAGTGGTCCTGTGATATGACAGAGGAGATATACAATTTGTGTGTAACAAATTATAATCTTTACATATATAAATGCTTCTTGTCTGGTTGAAGAAAAACCCAGATGTGGGGGGAGAGGGGGAGTATATAACCTTATCCCGAAATCTGCCTGTTTTCAGTCTCTTCCATCCCAGTGTCTCTTGGACCAGAGCACTGAGCTTTCATTTTATACAAAATTTGTGATATTATTTCATCCAATTTTATTTTATTTATTTATTTTATCCCTGCATGGCTTGCGGGATCTTAGTTCCCCGACCAGTGATTGAACCCACGCCCCCAGCAGGGGAAGCTCGGAGTCCTAACCACTGGACTGCCAGGGAATTCCCATTATTTCATTATGAAAAGGAATATTCTCTAGAAAATCGCTGGAAAACATAGAGTAAAAAGAAATTCATGTTACCATCTAAAGTCTACTAGTGGCTTTTTGGTGTGTAACAAGTTTTAAAACTGATTTTGCAAGTTAGCATGGAAACCTTACCATTAATTTTGACAGTTTTTCATGAGGAAATTCTAAATCTCAAAGGAACCAAATACATTTGTATTCTGTGTATGTAAATGGCACCCCTGGGGTTGTACAGTGCACAACCTATACAAATGTACACATGGCCCTGACTATTGGTGCTGTGTTCATCTTTTAGTTGTAGCATGGGGCTGGCCACTTGAGAAGTGTTTGGGGTAGCTGGAGTTACACACAGTCATACTAAGGTTCACAGCAACACTTCAGAAAGGAGCTAGTAAAGAAGCATATTGGTTTAATTGATTAATTGAATTTTATGCCAGGCCCTTTACTTGCCCATTGGCAAGGGCCTCAGAGTCCTATGTGGACTCATCAGCTCTTGGAGGGCTTAGGCCTTCTCTCATGCTCTCAACTACAAAAAGTACACTTATTATCTACAGGGACGATATCAAATAGTTCTATTCATTTGAATGCAAAAGTGAAACAAGTCCAATTCATATTTATTATAAATTGTTATTCACAGCACTATTTAATTACAAGGGAAAAGTAGTTAATGTCTTTTGCAAGTGATTATGTTTTAACCAGGGGTATGTACGTAAAGAAACCCTGGGGGGTTCTGCCTCCCCCCTTTTTTTAATAAATGGGGGGCCTGGAGAAGCCACTCCTGCCTGTATTTCATTATCGGTTTGAAATTTTAGGTGGCATCTCAGTCTTCCTAGAGTGTCGGCAAATGGCACTGACCAGATCCCTCCCCGGAGCCAAGTGCTGCTCCAAGTATCCACTCTGACCAGCTTCTGTGCCCTCCCGAGGCAGCTGGCCATCTTCCCTCACCACAAGCTGGAAGCAAGGAGGAAGAGGTCACTTTTACTGTATCCCCATCATCCCCAGCTGTTGCTTCTTAGGAGAGCCTGTGAGCACTGAGGAGTGGGAGGTCTGACTGCTCCATGGGGAGATGCCTGTGTGGATTCAAACTCTCACCAAACATTTGGGATGGTTTAGGATGTTCTCGCCTAAAATATAGGCTTTCTGGCATAAAGCAAAGTTATTTTGGAGGGCCCTGGGGCACCTTAGGGATACACAGTTGTTTCCCAGTAGTTGAAAGCTGCATAACTAGTGACTATGCAGACTTCTAAAAAACACTGTGGACAGAGATAAGTGATGGTAAGTGAAATAAAAGTCACAAAGGCAGATGCCCCAATCACGGGCTAGGACCTGTGCTGTTCTCCACGCTGGTAGCTTCTGGTGAGAGGGCAGCAGCAGTTTCTCCAGTTACAGTACACCAGCCAGTGACCTACAGATATGAAGACAGTCTACCTTCTCTGACCCTATCCCTCCTCCAACTCCCCCCTGGGGGCCTCCCCTCTCCACCACCATGTCCCTCAGCTCCTTGCCCCGCTGGCCTTGGCACCATCCAGAACAAGAGGGCTTCACGCAGCAGCTTCCTGACCCAGGGCGCTGAAGTTGTCTGTAATCTGCAAGCTGAGCGCTGCAGAACCCCCAGGGGGCGCTATTCACACTGAGGCGCAGGAGATGGCATGTTCACTTAAAAAGAAAATCGTGGCACAAATCAAAGTGTCTTGAAAGATGGGTGTCTTATCTAATTCACATAACGGTACATTATGGAATGGCAGCGTCCTTGATCCAACTCACCCATCATCTCTGGGTGACCTATTATTGATGTAGGGCCTACTTTCCTCCACTGATCTTCATACTCCTAAATTGTATCCAGGGTACATAGTCCATAATGTGCTTTATAGAATACATGCAAGAATCAAATACCCCTCCTCCCATATAATATATGAACCTTGAATTAAACAGTCTCAGTATCAAATGGGGTCTTGTAGGGACCTTCTGTAACTGTATAAACCTAAATAATGGAAGTGAGTCTGTTTTCCCCTATACAATGAACACTGCATTGTACAGATCAGGGGTCATCAAACTCTTTCTGTAAGCGTTCAGGTAGTAAATATTTTAGGCTTTGTAGGCAAACAGTCTGTTGCAACTACTCAATTCTACCTTGCAGTGCAAAAGCAGCCATAGGGTCCCAATAAAAGTTTACTTATGGACACTCTAATGTAAATTTCATATACTTTTCATGTGTGATGAAATATTATTCTTCTTTTGATTTTTTCAACCATTTAAAGATGTAAAAACTATTTTTAGCTTACAGCCTGTACAAAAACAGGGAACAGGCTGGATTTGGTATGTGGGCGGCAGTTTGCCCTGTTATAGGTAATTTATAGACTCTTTCCAGGTCAAACATGATTATGTACTTAGCTTGACTAGAAATTAATGTCCCAAGTTAGTATAAGTATTAATCCCATTGCTTAGTCATTTATTTGACAAGGTAGAACCAGGTGTTTCTTTTTGGAAAATACTATTAAAAAGGAGTATCTTACTTACTCAAATAATTCCTGTCCTCTCTCCCTGGGGCTGGATAACAGGCCAGCCCCATGCCTCCTGGGGATGCTTACTGAGGAAGGATGGCGCGGGCCTGAGAGGAGCAGCATGGTTGGACGCTTGGTGAACCCAGTTGGGTGTCAGTGTAGCCCCTCCCCTGTAAAGAAATAACCTTGTAGTGTTTGGCCCCTGAGTGGCACCTGGAAATAGCGCTGGCCCTGGGCTTGGGCTCTGAGTCTGTCACTCACTGAAGCTGCTGCCTGCAATTAAGAAGGGCCTTTCTGGGCCTGAACCCCAGTCTTCCCCAGGACACTGGACTGATTCCACCCCAAACCCAGTGCAGCCTTATCAGAATCTGGTCCCCACGGCCAGCCTGCTTGCCCCCGACTAGCTGGCACCTCCTTTTATGGAGGGTGGCACAGAAGAGCTTATTCCTAACAGAGCTGATCTGTCCCCCTTTCTGCTGGGTTCAAACCCTTAACCCGTTCTCTTCCTGCTGTATACGTGTCCTCCTCTACTCACTGGGCTGCTTCGTGTGGCTCAACAGAGGAAGCTCTTCTATCTTACATTTCCTAAATGATTTGAGGGAGGTCTTTACCATTTCTCTCTACTAACTCTTTCTCCAAACCTGTCCCAACTCAAGGTGCACCTAATCAATAGACATCTCACAAGCGGACTCGCCTGGGGTGGGTGGGTGTCCTTTTCTCTCATGTCACCCTGGATGGAAGGGTGCACAATGATTGGTTAGAAAGTCAGCCCAAGAGCCAATTCCTCACCAGAGGCACAGGGCCCCAACGGAGACACAGAAGGTGGTTCCATCGACCGGTGCTGGAAGCTTTATATACCTCCTGTCAGCATCGCCTCTTCCCACTGTCAAGGTTAGGGGCTTCTTTCTCAAGCAACCTTACGGCAACATGTCACTTTATGTGCGTGTTGGAGGGGAGGAGTGAAGCTACGCATCCATTTCCTAAACGTTGAGTCATATATATGGATTTTTTTTTTTTTAGAATATATTTTCTTTTATTTATTTATTTATTTATTTGGCTGTGCCGGGTCTTAGTTGTGGCACGCAGGATCTTTTAGCTGCGGCATGTGGGATGAAGTTCCCTGACCAGGGATCGAACCCAGGACCCCCTGCATTGGGAGCGTGGAGTCTTAACCACTGGACCACCAGGGAAGCCCCCATATAAATGGATTTTTAATTAATATCCTCTGAACAAAATAACTCATCAGTACTTGCATTGTCAGAAGACTTGCAGGCCCAGTGGCTATCACTATTGCCCATTGCCTAATTCTCTTTACACGCCTTGCTCAACACATGTGACATATCACGTACAAATGCAGTGCTGATGCAGCTTCTGAGAATCCCCTTCCTAACTTTTCAAGGAATCAAGTGACACAGGTCAAAATTTCTTGCTGCGTGACCATGAGGCCTCTGGGTAGCTCTACTGGGTGTTATTTAAGAAAACAAAAATTTAGATATAGTCATTTTTAAAAGTTGAAACTTTGCAGAAAATAGACCAAAATAAAGAAGGTGAAGAGGAAAAACTTCACAGACTTTTAAAAAGTTAACTATACAATCTTTTATTTCTAGCTTGAAAAGAAAAAAATGACCCTTAAATTAATAGGAAACTATTTACAGGATTAATCACATTTTAAGCCAGGACACTCTGTGTCCCTTGTTGGGATAGGCTGGGACAGCTTAGGTGACCTGCCCAAGGGGCCCAAGCTCCTTGCCATAGCCAGGAAAGGACCCCGTCTCCTGACCGCCTGGCCCCACCCACAATGTACAAAATATCAGAGGGGTGCCACAGCCATTTTGATAACAAATAATTATGGGCCTTTTTAGTGTTTAAGAGAAACCTTAATTTTTTTGGTATGTAGAATCGGTCTAGAAACTTGTAGGCTTTAGGAAATTCTTAGTTAAAAAAAAGTAAGTTATTCTCTCCCACGGGACCATATAGACCTCTCCCCAGGCACCCCCGGGTCTTTTCACGACAGGAATAAGGAGTAGCGGGCTCCATCAAGTCCTGACAGGCACATCCGCAGCTTCACTGTCTCAGGGTCCTCCTTCCACAGGCTGGTGGCTTGGATCGGTGCTTTGGTTCAAAGTGTCTTCTCGCTCATTCTCTGGAAACGACACGATGGACACAGAGTCCCAGGCATCATCCTTTGGCGAGCTGTCCTTATCCAAGGCGTCTAAGATGGGCTGAGCTGGATCCTTTAAATACTTGAAAAGGTTGAACACCATTACCATAATTTGTTTATCAGTTCCAAATACCAGAACTTCATACTTTAGTTTTAGTTGGCATAATCCTATTTCATTCAGGTATAACTTCCAATTCTGTCCACCAACGAAGCAACTTCTAAAACCGGAACCCCTGTTCACCCCTCCATCTCAATAACTCACACGAATCCAAGGGCCAACCCAGGGAATACTCTGAGAACATGAAAGGGCGTAACTCAGGAAAAGCAAGTTCTGACTTGCTGCACTGGATGAGGGCTTGTGGATTATCAATCCTAAAATGTCTCTGGAATTCTAACTTTTCAGGGAAGGAGGAAATGGAGCCTCTTGTTCAACTACCATGGGGGCAAAGAGGGAAAGTTCACGAGCATTTTTCGCAACCACTCCATCCACTGGTTGGTTCTACACACAAAACACGGGGTGCAGAGGATCTGCGCTATGCAGCCCTGGGCAAACCAGAAAGCGCAGGTCCTCAAGGCAAAGTGCCGGTCCACAGGCCTTAACTTGCCCTGGCCCTCCTGCCTCGGCTCTGGGCTTAGCCATCAATTAGCAAGTTACCAAGAACCAACTGCCTGGCTCTTGGAAATGCTGAAAGATACTGAAATACGGTCAGCTTAGAGCTGGCTGATGAGAAGACGAATGACCACGAATCACGCGCACTTGTGAAACCTCAAAAATATAAGTGAAACCTGATTCATTATTCTCATGTAACTTCAGTGACCTTTGATATAGACTTTTCACACTTTCCCAGAAAAGTGAACCGAAAGACTTTATGTTTTAGATTCAAGCACCAAAGGAACAACTAGTGGTAAATTCACTTACTAGGGTCCTGCTGCTAGTTCTGTGAGAGAGAGTTATTTGTTTGTTTGTTTTTTTAATTTTTTGGCTGTGCCATGTGGCATGCGGGATCTTAGTTCCCTGACCAGGGATTGAACCTGTGCCCCCTGCAGTAGAAGCTCGGAGCCTTAACCACTGGACCACCAGGGAAGTCCCGAGACAGACATTACTGATGCAAGTAAAATTCTGAGTTGAGAGCTGTTACGTTGGGACAGTATTAACCAGGGAAGGTTGTTTTTTTTTTGTTTTTTTTTTTTTTTTTTTTTTTTTTTTTTTTTTTTTTTTTTTTTTTTTTTTTTTTTGTGGTAAGAACACCTAACATGAGTTCTACCTTCTTCACACAGTTTTAAGTGCACAACACAGTACTACCTACAGGCACAATGTTGTACAGCAGGAACCAGAACTTATTCGTCTTGCATAACTGAAACTTTATGCCATTTGAAAGCAACTCCCTGCTCCCCCTGCCACCTGGCCCCTGGTAACCACTGTGCTACTCTCTGCTTCTATGAGTTTGACTATTATTCTATTTAGATTCTTGATAGAAGTGGAATCCTGCAGCATTTGTATGGAGGTTCCAGTAGGGAATATAACGTGCTTCGCATAACGTCTGTGTACTTTAAACACCTCATGACAGATGAAGGAAAACAAGTGACTATAGCTCTTTCTAGAAGCACCACTCTGTCTTTACAGACTAGATACAACAACATAAGGTTCTGTTTCCAGTACTTTTACCCTGATTTTACTGCAGAATGATAAACCTCCAGAAGCAAATAGTTCTAAATATGCTTGTATCAGCTAGCTTCTAATCCCAAGAACGTCCCGGCTGTCTCCTCAGAGGGCCTGGTTCCCTCGCAGAGCCTCAGGGGGTCGCTGGAGCTGGGCAGGAAAACAAGACTTTCCATAAGACCTACCCACTCCACTTTTCTTTCTTAAATCCTTTAAAATAGTAACATCCCCTGTGTACTCGGCGTGCAAGGCGTTGAACTCACGGCTCTGGGTGTGTTTACTCTAGAATCCTCCTGCCTGCACACTGTCTGACCCAAAGCTCGTGCTCTTGACTGCTGTCCCCACTGGTCCATGTCCCCTCCAGCCAGGCTTCAAAAGCCCGGGACTGTCGTGTTGTCTCCAGAGGGATCTACTGCGGCCGATCTCCTGTCCGGGCCAGACCAGGCCACCTTTTGGCCAACCTCGTGCCATTAAAAAAATTAAAAAAAAAAAAATTTTTTTTTACTTTATTTAACTAATTACTTAATTAATGTATTTGGCTGTGACGGGTCTTAGTTGCCGCATGTGGGATCTTCGTTGCGGCATGTGGGATCTAGGTCCCTGAACCCTGGGGATTTAACCCTGACCCCCTGCATTGGGAGCGCCGAGTCTTAGCCACTGGACCACCAGGGAAGTTGTCCCCCAATTTTTTAAAATTGTGGTAAAATACACATAACATAAAATTTACCATCTTAACCATTTTTAAGTGTACAGCTCAGTAGTGTAAAGTCTATTCACATTGTTGGGCAATGATCACTACCATCTGTCTCTAGAACATTTTAATTAATTAATTTATTTATTTGGCTGTGCCGGGTCTTAGTTACAGCATGTGGGATCTAGTTCCCTGACCAGAGATTGAACCCGGGCCCCCTGCATTGGGAGTGTGGAGTCTTAACCACTGGACCACCAGGGAAGTCCCTAGAACATTTTTCATTTTGCAAAACAAACTGTCCCCGTTAAACATTAACTGCCCATTTCCTCCCTCCCTCCGGACCCTGGCAACCACTATTCTACATTCTGGTTCTGTGAATGTGAGTACTCTAAGCACCTCATATAACTGGAATCATGTAGTATTTGTCTTTTTGTGACTAATTTATTTCCCTTATCATAATGTCCTCAAGGTTCATCCATGTTGTAGCATGTCTCAGAATTCCCTTCCTTTTTAAGGCTGAGTAATATTCCATTCATATGTATATACCACATCTCTTTTTTTTGGCTGCACCTGTGGCTTGCAGGATCGTAGTTCCCTGACCAGGGATTGAACCCGAGGCCAGAGCAGTGAAAGCGCTGAGTCGTAACCACTGGACTGCCGGGGAACTCCCACCACATTTTATTTATACATTCCTCTATCGATGGACACTTGGGTTGTTTCTACCTTTTGGCCATTGTGAATAATGCTGCTATGAACATGGGTGTACAAATAACCAAGTGCTGCTTTTAACTCAAATCTCTGTGTCATGGCTTTGTCCACTGCTCTACTCTTAGGTGTTACTAGTGGGGCATGAAAGGCTGACACGTCACCCTTTTAAATGTGTACACACATACCTCTTCTATTTGTGATGGGATGCTTGGTGGAGAGTGAAACCAGTATTTAACCAGGCCTCTGTATTTCAGTACCAGGAAGAGACAGGCCCCCACCAGCACTGACAGCAACAAAAAGGTTCCCATAGAGATCAGGATGACTTGTTGAAGCTTGGTGGTGGCTAAACAGGTGACATAAAAGTGAACAAGATGACCAGCCTACACACGATACAAACATCGGGTAATTTCTCATCCACCACTGCAATAAATAGAGTTCATGTCCCAGTAAACTGGATGGATACTGCCCCTCCCCGACCCAGCCCTCTATGCTTTAATTAATAGTTAGTAAAGGCAATCCTAAAACAAAGCAAGTGTTAGCTGTCTGGCAGCTCTTGCTACTGGAGACTTCAGCACCAGCTTGTTATCTCTTCAGTGAAGTGCTGTCCTAGCCCCTTCTCTCTGGGCCTCCGCACTCTCACCACCCTCCACACCACCCTCCACCTAATAAGCAATCCCTGATTGCACTACTTTAGGAGTGATCTGTTCCCAGCTCAGAAAGGACTTAAGAAAGCATACGTTACCATCCACTGTTGTTTCGGAGCAAGATACGTTGCTTAAATGCCCAGGTCTAGAGATGTTTTCTTTTGCCAAAAACAGTTCTGCCTTGACTTGGAAACAGTATACTCTTAGGGGTTTTAAATCATTCAAGGTGATGAAGTTGCTCCTGAAAGGGTGTGTCACCTACGTAAAATACACCAAGAACCACACCTGAAAATCACCCACATAGACATGGTCAAGCCCCTTCCAGCTTCTCCAATGTTTCCTCAAATTCACACTGAACACAATAACCAAAGACGAAGGTAATTCTGTTTCTAAACAAAGAGAATACCAATTTTATATGTATCACATATGCTTATAGCAGACAAATTTTATATGTGAAAATCGGTTAGGAACGTCAAAAAAGATGCTGATGGCATTAGAGCTGTGTTTCTGGCTGTGAGGTCCGAGGGCCCAACCGAAGCCCCATCACAGCAATGGAGGGTCCAAAGCTGGAATTTAGCAAATCCCAGTTTCTAGGACGAAATTTTCTCCTTTCAAATGAACATTTTGTATTTCATGGTTAATCTCATCTAGACACTTGAAGTTAGTCAACAAATAAAGGAAAAAAGTCATTCTAGGAAATAATGTTCCTTTGGTTCCCAATCTGCTTCTGGTTTTCACTGAAATGTGCTGACTCCTTTTATAGTTTTGGTCAAAATGATCTGAGTGATTTATGTCATCAGGAAAGAGTTGGGTCCCAAATTCTTGGCAGATTCTGTCCCCTCCTTCCCTCCCTGCTGCTACCCTCCCTCGGGTCTTGTCACCTCAATGGTCCCTCACTCTCACCTCAGACAAACTGTCACTGTTCCACAGGGAAAGGAGAAAAAAACCCACTATATTACAGCTATATAGGATTTCTCATAAAGGACTGCTTTCATTTTTTTTTTTTTTTTTGGTCTGCTGTGGGTCTTCGTTGCTACGTGCGGGCTTTCTCTAGTTGCGGCGGGTGGGGGCTACTCTTTGCGCGGTGCGCGGGCTTCTCATTGCGGTGGCTTCTCTTGTTGCGGAGCGTGGGCTCTAGGCGCGCGGGCTTCAGTAGTTGTGGTGTGTGGCCTCTGTAGTTCCGAGCATGCATGTGGGATCTTCCCGGACCAGGGATCGAACCTGTGTCCCCTGCATTGACAGGCGGATTCTTTTTTTTTTTTCTTTTTTGCAGTACGCGGGCCTCTCACTGTTGCGGTCTCTCCCGTTGCGGAGCACAGGCTCCGGACGCGCAGGCTCAGCGGCCATGGCTCACGGGCCCAGCCGCTCTGCAGCCTGGGGGATCTTCCCGGACCAGGGCACGAACCCGTGTCCCCTGCATCGGCAGGCGGACTCTCAACCACTGTGCCACCAGGGAAGCCCCTGGGCAGGCGGATTCTTAACCACTGCGCTAACAGGGAAGTCCCAGGACTGCTTTCTGATTTTGAGATACTACAGTAGAATATACTATAGCCATTTGAAATGGTGGAATATCACACACACTCCGGAACGTGGAGGTGAAGCTGCTTACATATGTTGACTGAAAAAAGGCAGATTTTTCAACAGTATATAGAACATCATCTTATTATTTATTTATTTTTTTGGCCATGCTGCGGGACCTAAGTTCCCCGACCAGGGATTGAACCCGCGCCCCCTGCAGTGGAAGTGCGGAGTCTTAACCACTGGACCGCCAGGGAAGTCTCATGATCTTATTTTTAAAAATACAAAATGACCATATTATATTTGAATAGTAGGATTAGAGATGATTTTTAATTTTTTTTCCTCCTATTTGAAATGATGACTGCCATGGCAGAGGAGGAAAATTTTTACTCCTGATGCCACATAAAGCAATTTTAAGGACAACATTCTTTTTGAGTACAACATTCTTTTTGAGTTTATTTTGGCAGCCAGTCGGCTATTCCAAAAGTTAGAATCACAGACTGCAGAGAAGAGCTACCATTCAGGCCTGAGACCGCTGTCCTTAGAAAGGCTTGCTTGCAAGGCTGACCCAAGGCTGGCATCTGGGACTTGGATTTGAGGAGTGTTTCCACCATTCCCTGACTGATAAGGGTGGTTTAGTGTGTAAACAATGCTCTTTATGCTGAACACCTGCTCTCCCTCTGGGAGTCTGGAGTTTTGGTGTCTATGTTGGGCAGAGGGTGCCTGTGTGACCAGCCCCCAATAAAAGCCCTGGGCACTGAGCCTCTAACGAGCTTCTCTGGTAGATAAGATTTCACACGTGCTGTCACGCCACTCTTGTTAAGTGTGTCCTGGGTGACTTCCAGGGGAAGACTCGGAAGCTTATGCCTGGATTCCAGTAGACTTTGCCCCATGTGCCTCTTCCCTTTGCTGAGTTTGTTTTGTGTCTTTTCTCTGGAAATAAATCACAGCCTTGAGTACAACTATACACTGAGTCCCATGCATCCTTCGAGCAAATCTAGGGGTTGGTCTTGGGGACCCCTGACATACAGACTCACAGATGGAATGGAGATCGTACAGGTGGCTTTCAGAGTTACTTTAGCCCCGGAATCTTTTGTTCATTAAAGTCCAAAGTATACATGCTCTGGCTGAAAGGGAGAAAGGGGAATCCCTTCTGCATTCTTCCAGGCCTTCTCTATTCCAGTTGACCAGACCTTGACCTCAGGATTTCGGGAAACGATTATTTCTTTCTTCCCTATTTGCTAAGAGTCTGTTCTTCAGTGAGTTCTGCCTTCCTTGGTGTTTTTACACTCACCACAAAGAAATGAAGAGCAAGTGCAAACATCAACTATGTGGAAGAGAAACAGCAATTAAGAGCATGGACCCTGAGGCTAGATGTCTCCTCTGCTTTGCTATCAGTTGCTGGCCTTGGGCAAGTTACTTAACCACTTGGTTTCCCTCCCTGTGAAACAGGTGGGTGTAAAGGTTAAATGAGATGATGTATCTAAAGTGCCTGGGCCAGGTGCCAGACACAAAGAAAGCTCTGGATAAACATAAGCTCTTATTCTTATAAAAAATTATAATAATGTTGAACTTAGGAAATCACGAATTTACACAGGTAGTAAAACATCATTAAATGTAGCTTGGAGGGACTTCCCTGGCAGTCCAGTGGTTACGACTCCGCGCTTCCACTGCAGGGGGTGTGGGTTCGATCCCTGGTTGGGGAACTAAGATTCTGCATGCCGTGCGGCGTGGCCAAAAAATAGAGGGAAAAAAATGTAGCTTGGATAAGCAGATACTGGAGGTGATTAAAGGCCATCAGTTTTTTCTTGTGCTACCCAGGGCTGACCAGACCCCTTTTGGTCTGACCCACCTTTGTCAACCTTACCCTGCCCCAGCCCCTCACGTGGCCTGCATTTCTAAAGGATCCGAGCACGTGCAGTTCCCCAAATGTGCCGAGCCTTTTCAAACCTACTGGCCCTTCTCCCTAGAACACTCTCTCTCCTTCCAGTAGACTTTTCACCTATTCATACTGCCCTCTTTGCAAACCATGCAAACCAGAGAATTCATATAGTTAAACCTTGCAGACTGCAGTAGTAAATTCATTGCTGTAGAAACAGGCCCACAGAAGCTCCCCAAACTCCGGAGTGTGGCAAAGGCACCATGGGCACCGGCTGAGTCCAGACCCAGACCATGGGGACCATGTGATACCAGGCAGAGAGGGCCCTGCAGATGGGTCTGGTGGGAGGGGAGTCTCAGCACAGTGAGTAGAAGCAGAGGTCCTGAAGAGAAAGATCAAAACCGCTAAGGCTCAGCCCCTAAGGGGATACCGGGATACCCTGGTGTCCTTGGCCACTTTAAAGTAGACTTTCTTTTGCTATCCAGAAACTCCAAAGAAATGAAAATCAAAAACAAAGAAGAAAAATTCTCTTGCCTGTTTGATTCTTCCCTTTTCCCAGTAGTAGACATAATACTGGAAAAAGGCCACGGAGGCAGGGACATCAAAGGGAGAAGAAAAGCTGATGATAAGGGAACCTTCTTCTGGGGTGACCCAGATGTCTTCTGGAGGTCCGATGGTGGCTGCAATAGAATTACAAACAAAATCAATCCATCAGTCTATGTGTATACGTAGATACATACATATATATACATACACGTGTACATCATATATATATGTACAGAATATGTATATTGTACATGTAATTATATTTAGTATGGTACACACATGCATATATTTATATATGCAATGAGATTGCACTCAGACTACCAGAGGCTATTCTGGGCACTAGATTTACTTGGAAGGCTCCGGGGCAGATAGCCCAGTGGAGCTACAGAGTGGCCCCAGGGGTTTCTGGCCTTCGGGGGAAGGAAGGGTCCTCACAGTTGTCCACATGGCCACGCCTGCCCACCCCCAGGAGACAGCTCAGGTGCAAGGATCGGGCAGGTACAGGGCACTCCCTGGCTCAACCACAAGAGCCAGTATTTCTCATCACAATTCCACAAGAAGAGTTTCCAGAGTCCCCACAAGGGACATGCCCAGTTACAAGAACCCCTTCACTCAGCAATGCCCCAGACACGGTTTCCTACCAGGTGGTTAAGACTGGCCTGGTTGAAGTTCTATTTACCAACCAGAGGTCCTTCTGACCATAAGCAATGCTACTAAGTCAGAAAGAGAAAAACAAATATCGTGTATTAACGCATATATGTGGAATCTAGAAAAATGGTACAGATGAACCGGTTAGCAAGGTAGAAATACAGATGTACAGGAAAAACGGATGGACACCAAGGGGGAAAGTGGCAGGGTGGTGGTGTGATGAATTGGGAGATTGGGATTGACGTATATACACTAATATGTATAAAATAGATAACAAATAAGAACCTCCTGTATAGCATGGGGAACTCTAATTCACTTCGCTGTATAGCAGAAACTAACACAACATTGTAAAACAACTATACCCCAATAAAAAAAGAAAAAGAAAAAAAAAATAATGTGGTTCATATGCCACCTTTATCAGGTTTCCAGAGAGCTGGAAGGTTAACCAAAGGTCAAATTTTCATGCAGAGAGGGAAGAGATTTTGTTAGCCTACCAAAAGTGGTGTTTACAAACTTTTAAATACGTGTATCTTTCTAGCTTTTTCTAATACAATGATTAAATATAATAACTGAGAAATATTACCATCATACGTCTATTTGTTAAGGCTTTTCATATAAGTCACAGGACAGCCAAGGACTATGGCTCATAACATGCTCTTAGAAGAAAGATCACAGCATTTATCAGGTGAGCATTTAAATTGTATAATTAACCAGAGCAACTCAGATCAAAATACAGGTTGTGTCCTCCAAGTTCTAAGAGGCCTGTTTCTGCACCTTCTATACACACAGATGATCATATCACGGTGAACAGTTCTGCGTTCACCGAAGTGGGGCTGGATTTCTCTCTCGCTTCCACACTCCGCCCTGGGCTCTCCCAGGTTGGGGAGGGTTAGGCATGTGTTCTGGTCACCTTTCTCTCTGTGTTAAAGTAACTGGTCCCTGCAGGGTTTGCACTCATGCCCTCTGATCTCCTTTGTTCTGGTGGAGGAACTAAGTCCAGACAGATAAAGGGTCGGGCCTGGCCCACCTCAAGCCACAGCGATGTTAGTGGATTAGCTGTGTATGACAAAAACCTCTCATTAAACCCGCTCACAGATGCTGGCACTCGCGTCTTCAAGCTACACTTTTGAAAGTGAAGTGACTGGAGCATGGAACAACATGTGGACCTGCAGGCCCAGGGCCCCGCTGAGCAGATTCTCTAGACTTTTCTGTGACTTACCCACCGGAGTGGGCATGGGAGCCCGGATGACTAATCACTTAACCGCTGAAAGGTCAGCACTGAAAGACCTGCCTTTCTGAAGGGCGTGCCAGACGGAGAATCTGATACCTACGTGATGAGTCTGTCTCTCGAAGGCGGACAGTCTGCCTTTTCTCTGGGCCCTGAAGGAGGGCTCAGTGGATCTATGGGTCATTACTGATAGCAGTGTCCACAGACTGAGCGATCACTCTAAACCTGGCAACACGGACTTTATATCCGTGTCCACACAGATCTATGTAACAACTACAGAAGGCCATCCCCATTTCCCAGAGGGGGAAACTGAAGCCCAGAGGGACATTACTTGCCCAGAGTAACAGCCGGTAATTGGCAGTGTTGGGATTCGAACCCAAGTTTATGTGATGCCACAGCCTACCCCCTTCAGGCACCATCTCATCCCTCTACCCTCAGTAAAGCATCTTCAAGTTGGTTACCCATCCTGACTCGACCGCAAGTGCTGAAAGCAGCGATGGGCTCTGAGAACACCACTGTCTTGAAGTTTACCAGTGACACCCCACCAGTAACTAACCGACGACATGGCTGCCCAACTCTGGCCGGGAGGAGAGAGAGCAGCAGCTGGCTGACTCTGGACCAGCGACTTCATGACAGGTCCTGCTTCTGATACCACCATTACTTTTTTCTCCACTAATTCCCACTTAGGTAATGCTTGATAGCTCAGATGTGTGATGGTTCTCCACTCAAGGACAAATAACTTGTCCACAGAAGACCAGCCAGCAGGGACTGCACTGTCTTCTCGACCACCCTCAAATTGCTAGCAAAAAGCTTTTTTAAAAAAATAATTTAAAAAAATTTATTTATTTATCTGGTTGTGCTGGGTCTTAGTTGCGGTATGTGAACTCTTAGTTGCGGCATGCGTGTAGGATCTAGTTCCCTGACCAGGGATCAAACCCGGGCCCCCTGCACTGGGAGTGTGGAGTCTTAACCACTGCACCACCAGGAAAGTCCCTTTCTTAGCTTCTATTACAGAAATTTTCAAACATATAGAAAGTAGAGAGAAGACTGTAAACAAAGCTCATGTACTCATCACCCAACTTTAAAGCAACCGTCAAGTCCTGACCAGTTTTGTTTCTCCTGTGCCCATCCACCTTGTAAGGACCACCTTGCCCCTCCCACTCTCTGGATTATTTTGAAGGAATCTCAGACATTACATCATTGCATCTGTAAATACTTCAGTATGTATCTTGAAAAGACCAGACTCCCCGCCTTTTTAAAAAAACATAACAAAATACCATTACAACACCTAAAGTATATTAGCAACAATTGCTTTATAAATCATCAAAGATCTAGACAGTGATCACATTTCCCCAATTGTCTTATACCTCTGTTTAATTTGAATCAGGATCCCACGAAGTTCCATACTTTGTGTTTGCATAGACACCGGAGAAACATTAGGCACGGCTGACCATGTGAAAAATGAATAATTGAAGGAACACATCTATAAACTAGTGTCTGACGACTCTCATGCTCCCTTCCAACATCTGGGAGCATATCTGTTCATTCAATCATTCCACAGATATTTTCTCTTATATGCCAGGTACTGTTCAAGGCTGAACTAAAATCCTTCCTGAACGGAAAAGAAGTTGTGCCATGTAACAGTGACCAGTGAAGCCAATATGCTAGTATTCCCTCCAGCACAGAGGTTAGCAAACTTTCTCAGTAAAGCACCAGAGTGAATTTAGGCTCTGACTGGTCACGCAGCCCCTGTTGCAACTACTCAGCTCGCCTGTTGCAGCTTGGAAGCAGCCATAGACAGTATATGAAAAGATGGGGAAACTGCATTCCGATAAAACTTTTTTTTTTTTATTGGAGTATAGTTGATTTACAATATTGTGTTAGTTTCAGGTGTACAGAAAAGTGATTCAGTTATACATGTATTCTTTTTCAGATTCTTTTCCATTATAGGTTATTACAAGTTCCCTGTGCTATACAGTAGGTCCTTGTCGTTTATCTATTTTATATATAGTAGTGTGTATATCTTAATCCCATACTCCAAATTTATCCCTCCCCCCCTTTCCACTTGGGTAACCGTAAGTTTGTTTTCTATGTCTGTGAGTCTGTTTCTGTTTTGTAAATAAGTTCATTTGTATCATTTTTTTAGATTCCCCATGTAAGTGATATCATACAATATTTCTTCCTCTGACTTACTTCACTTATATGATAATCTCTAGGTCCAACCATGTTGCTGCAAATGGCATTATTTCATTCTTTTCTATGGCTGAGTAGCATTCCATTGTACATATATAACACATTTTCTTTCCAATAAAACTTTACAAAAACCGGTTGGCAGGCGGGATTTGACCTGCAGGCTGCGGTGTGACAACACCCAGGCCTAGCAAATCACCCTCCCCTAGCCCCAGCTTCCGTGGTCAGTACTCTGGTTTGACCATCATACCCACCTGGGTGCTGGTTATTTAGGGTGAGAGGCAGGACGGAGGGGCATGGAGTCAGTACCGCTCAGCGAAGAGGAAAGTGAAGAAAACCTGCAAACGTTAAAGGAAGTTTGTACCCAAGTCGTCTTACCATTCCGATAGTGTTCGAACCAAGGCGCCTTTACCCAGGCAGAGACGAGGTCCCCCAGCTTAGCTCGGAGGCGTAAAGTGATGTTGAAATGCCGTGGGAAGCCCTCTGAGAGGCTGTTTGCGGTAAAGTTGCACTCTGTCCCGGTGAGGTTCGTACAGTCCACCCTGCTGTCTTTTCTGTTGACGTCATACCAGGTACTACTACTGCTGCTGCAAAGGGAATAAGGATTTTACTTTGCATAAGTCTCTTCTTTGATCACATATAACAGTTTCCCCAGAGATGAGTTTTTATTTATTTATTTTTTTGCGGTACGCGGGCCTCTCACTGCTGTGGCCTCTCCCATTGCGGAGCACAGGCTCCGGACGCGCAGGCTCAGCGGCCATGGCTCACGGGCCCAGCCGCTCCGCGGCATGTGGGATCTCCCCGGACCGGGGCACGAATCCGCGCCCCCTGAATCGGCAGGCGGACTCTCAACCACTGCGCCACCAGGGAAGCCCCAGAGATGAGTTTTTAATTCGATGTTTTTGATTGAGACATTGCTCACATACCATACACTACCCCCATTTAAAGTGTACAATTCAATGGATTTCAGTAAATTCACACAGTTGTGCAGACTCAGCACAATCCATTTCAGAACATGTTCATCATCCCCTAAAAACCCCTGCACCTATAGCGATCACTCTCCGTTTCCTCCACCCCCCAAGCCCTACGGTACCATTGATCTACTTTCTATCTCTATGGATTCGCCTGTTCTGGACATTTCATAGAAATACAATCATAAACTATGTGGTCTTTTGTGACTAGTGCCCTTCACTTAGCCTGTTTTACTTAGTATGTTTTCAAGTGTGATACATGTTGTAGCAGGTATCAGTACTTCATCCCTTCTTATGACCAAATAATGTCCCATTGTATGTACATACCACGTTTAGTTTATCCACTGATCTGCTGATGGGCACGTGGGTTGTCTCCACTTTATGGCTATTGTGAATAATGCTAAGAATATTCACATGTAAATTTCTTTGTGAACTATGTTCAGTTCTGTGGGGTGTATACCTAGGAGCGGACTTGCCGGGTCATATGGTAACTCTATTTTTAACTGATTTCCAAAGTAGCTGCACCATTTTACCTTCCCACCCACAATGTATGAGGGTTCCAATTTCTCCTCATTGTCACCAACACTTGTTATTATGCCTTTTTTATTTTATTTTGTTAATAAATTTATTTATTTTATTTATTTTTGGCTGCATTGGGTCTTCATTGCTGCACACGGGCTTTCTCTAGTTGCGGCGAGCAGGGGCTACTCTTTGTTGCGGTGCGCAGGCTTCTCATTGCGGTGGCTTCTCTTGTTGCGGAGCAAGGGCTCTAGGCGCGCGGGCTTCAGTAGTTGTAGTACACAGGCTCAGTAGTTGTGGCTCACGGGCTCTAGAGCGCAGGCTCAGTAGGTGTAGCGCACGGGCTTAGTTGCTCCGCGGCATGTGGGATCTTCCTGGACCAGGGCTCGAACCCGTGTCCCCTGCATTGGCAGGCGGATTCTTAACCACAGCACCACCAGGGAAGCCCATGCCTTTATTGTAGCCATCCAAGTGGCTGTATTTCCCCTGGTGACTAATGATGTTGAATATCTTTTCATGTGCTTATCGGCTATTTGCATATCTTCTTTGGAGAACTGTCTACTCAAATCCTTTGTCTATATTTTAATTGGGTTATTTGCCTTTTAATTTTGAGTTGTAAGAGTTCTTTATACATTCTGGATACAAGTCCCTTATCAGATATATGATTTGCAAACATTTTCTGCCATTTTGTTCTACAGCTGATTTTAATGCTTCAAACTCAGCCTCTGTAGCCTATGTCTTAGGAATGATACTGTGTTCATACAAACCATACCCATACTTCCTGCTGGTGTAGAGTTTGTTTTCACCCCATAGCTGCCCATTTAAAGAGAGTCTTGGCCACATGAAAACTTTGCCAAATGTAAGGCCATGCATCCTTGTAAGTGAGAATGCATTCCCCAGAGTCCCAATGCCACCTGCCTATGTGGGATTCTACTCGCTGACTCTGAGCTCTGTCCTTAGGTGACTGACTTGAGAAAAGGCAGGAAGGTAGCTCTAGAAGCCTCAGTAGTGTGGCAGTAGGCACTGTCCCCTCTCGGGACAGGCTGTGCCCTGGACAGCAACTCTGGCCTGGAAAGCAAGGCCAGGGGAGACAGGAGAAATGAGGCTGGGGGGTCACGGCCACCAGCTCTCACACAACACATGTGCTTCTAAGTGTACCTCTGACGCTGCCTCGAGACTTATCTTCTGCTAATGTGGCGGGTGACCAGATGAAAGCCACATCAAGATGTGTGGCCAGGGATTCCACAGAAGATGCCCACCATACTCACATACCACCACGCCCTGGGGTCACAGGCCCTAATGGGGGAAGGGACCACAAACCACAGGCACCCCCTCTCAGTCTGGGGGTGGTGTGCTTCACAAGGGGGTAAGTGATTTTTAAGTTATACAGATACTTAAAGGTACTATAACCTTCTCCCTGCCAATCCCAGCTGTTGAACTGGGGCAAAAGGCCCTCTCCCTGATTTGCCAGGGAACTGACCACCCATGTTCCATCTCCTCCCCTCACCTCCAAGCTTGCCCCTTTCGGATTTATCCCAGGGACGCAAGGGTTTTTCAATATCTGCAAATCAATCAGTGCGATGCACCATATCAACAAATTGAAGAATAAAAACCACAGGATCATCTCAATAGATGTAGAAAAAGCTTTTGAGAAAATTCAACACCAATTTATGATAAAAACTCTCCAGAAACTGGGCGTAGAGGGAACCTACCTCAACATGATAAAGGCCATATATGACAAACCTACAGCTAACATCAGACTCAAGGGTGAAAAGCTGAAAGCATTTCCTCTAAGGTCAGGAACAAGGCAAGGAGGTCCACTCTCGCCACTTTTATCCAACATAGTTTTGGAAGTCCTAGCCAATCAGAGAAGAAAAAGAAATAAAAGGAACCCAAATTCGAAAAGAAGTTAAACTGTCATTGTTTGCAGATGACATGATACTATACATAGAAAATCCTAAGGACGCTACCAGAAAACTACTAGAGCTCATCAATGAATTTGGTAGTTGCAGGTTACAAAATCAATACACAGAAATCCGTTGAATTTCAGAACTACTTTTTAAAAGTGTTTCTCAAAGAAGGGGTTTAAAAGGGCACAAGCCATCCAAATTTAAATGACAGCTGACACATGAAGGTCAGCAGTTTGGGGGGGGGGAGTGGAGTTCTGGAAGGTGGCCTCCCCATCTAATTGCAAAGGGTAAAAATAAGGTGCTGTGGGCCCCATTTAAATGGATAATGAAATGGACACAGCCTCACGAGCATGGCACTGCCCCATGTCTGGACTCCCACCCTCTTGCCCAGGCTTATGTTGAATCAGCCAGTCTGAGCCTTACCCAGCAAGTAGTCCTGGCTCCTGGCAATGTACTCATGTGGATGGCCTCTGTCCCTTTTACCTAATTTTGAAAGCAACCTCATCATGAGAGGGAGAACAGCATAATGATTGAACACATGGACTCTGGGGCCAGATTACCTGGGTTCAAATCCCAGTTACTTCACTTCTCTGTTCCTCAGTCTTCTTATCTATAAGATGGGATGAACTATAGCATCTGACTCTCAGGGTTGTCCTGACAGTTGAAACAGTGGACACCAGGAAAGTGCCTGGATCAGGGCCTGGTGCCTAGTAAGCACCATCTCAATGTTTGTTAAACACCTGGGCAACCGATGATTTCACTGTCCAGCCTCTGTTACATCACTTCCAAAAATGATGAAGTTTTTTCCCTTTGAACCCAGCAAGTCATCTTCCAGAAATGTAAGAAAACAATCCGACACAATTTATGTTTGAGATCATTACTTATAACAGTCACAAACTGTCAACTATTTATACCACTCGTGAGTGAGGAAAAGTTTAAAAAATCCTGAGTGATACATCATATAACAGAACATAGAATAAAAATGTTCACACAGAAATAACTGTATGAAAAAAGTGGCTACATGCTTAACTACATTAAGTTAAAAGGAAAGAAAAAAAGGAAACAGGACCCAGAAGCATAACCCCAGTTTTGTTTCAGTCTTACACAAATGCTGGCACATTTGCAAACAACTGCATGTATTTAGAAAAAAACGTCTAGAGAGAAATACACTAAAATGAGAATAGTGATTTTTCTTGGACAGCAGGTTGTTTTAATTTTATTCTTTTTACTTTTCTGGGTTTTCCACATTTTCTATAAAGAAAATGTATTGCTATTAAAATTATAAAACAATGAAATTTTAAAAATGCATTGGGAAGACTGGGCAAGTGGGATGTGACCTAGAAAGGGCCCTGCTGTCTGCCTGTCTTTATTTTCAAGAAAAAACAGAAATTCGGTTCTTTTTTTTTTTTATTTAAGTGAAATCTCCAGATGTTTAAATGTCGGCACTAATTGGAAAAAAAAAAATGAAACACTGTGGACCAAACACAGACTTTAGGCCACATGATCTGCAACTTCTGATGTAAACTTAAAATTTGCCCACAAAGTGCTCTATGTAATTTTGGCTTTGCTACTGTGACTGTCAAAAAACAGAGGCACGTTTATTTATAATTATAGTGATGTTTTACTGGAGAGAAACAGAATGGAAACTTTTAAGTCCCCGGAGCCTCAAAATTAAATTATTTAATGTAACTAAAATGTCCTAAACATGTGAAAGTATCTAGAAACAAACCAACAAAAAAAGCAAAGGCCCTCTTCCATGATCAAATCTGTAATTGGAAAAGAAAACAAAATTAACTGCTGTTTGAGTTTTCAGTGACCCCCCCTCAGCTTTTACAAATAGGGACATTCACATTCAACACATCACATCCAAAACCAACCTCTAACCTGATAAAATATCTACAAAATACTTTCCGAATAGAAAACACAGTGAAACAGGTTGGTCTGTGATGTGAAACTGTCAAAGGCTTTAACAAATACTTCTAATATTTAGAGGTGCTCTGTCAACCCACAAATACACTTCCCCAGTCAAGGCTAAGGAATGCTAGTCAACAGATCAGCTGTAACTTCCCCTTAACTGAAATCTTTTTGTGTGGCTCTAGGATACCATATTTACTCAATGCCAAGCAGGGCCACCTTCACGGGCATGTGACCTGCGCAGTGGCACAATGCTGTACTCCTAGGAGGGCACCTGGTTTGAAGCTCTGCTTTACCATCCTGAAATTCCCAATACTTTTTGCACAAGGGGCCCTACATTATCATTTTGCACCGGGCCCCACAAATTATGTAGCCGGTCCTCATGGACTGGTCCTTTTATTACAGATGATCATGTTTGTAATTTATAATTACTTCAGAAGTAATTTATTCAGATAAATGCGATCCAGAGATAGTACTCAAATCCCAGTTCAGAATTTATTTTTGTTAAGCAAGTATTGTTACAATGGACAGTTCATGATGAAAACGAAGTCATCTGGAAACTACTCCTCTAACAAATTAACCGTCTGTAATTTTTCTACATTGCCTGCCTGTTCTTGACCACAGACTCATTCCATGTCGCATACAGTTGCACCTGCTGTCATGTGACACATAACTACTCTTTTTACTGGTCACCTAAGGGTTCATCCATAAGTTAAAACTTGACACAGTTTGCCACCTTCCTGCTAATGGACATGAATAGACACTTCAATGAATCAGTATATCTTCATGAATATAAGTTTGTTTTTTTTTCCTGATGGGGCGGTCGTATTGTCTGCCTAGGATAAAAGTAACATGGACATCCCTACGACAAAGTGAAGAGTAGAATTATTTTCTAAGGGGGCTGTGCACATAATTGATCCTGATCCAGCACTGTATCCACCAGCCACATTCTCAAAAGCACTGAGCATTCCTTTTTTTTTTTTTTTGGCTGTACCACGTGGCTTGCAGGATCTTAGTTCCGGTACGCAGGCCTCTCACTGTTGCAGCCTCTCCCGTTGCAGAGCACAGGCTCCGGACGCGCAGGCTCAGCGGCCATGGCTAACGGGCCCAGCCACTCCGCGGCATGTGGGATCTTCCTGAACCGGGGCACGAACCCGTGTCCCCTGCATCGGCAGGCAGACTGTCAACCACTGTGCCACCAGGGAAGCCCCCAGCATTCCTATTTTTAAAAAGTTTGCTTATTTAGTAATCTAAAAATGACTTCGCCGATAAATTTTTTTTTTTTTTTTGCGCACCATGTGGCATGCAGGATCTTTGTTCCCCGACCAGGGATTGAACTCACGGCCTGTGCATTGGAAAAGCGGAGTCCTAACCACTGGACCGTGAGGGAATTCCCACAATAATTTTAACTTAGTCCCCACTTAATTCATTTAACAAGGTAAACAAGGACTTGGATTTTGTCTTTCTTCTTCCCCTATGCGTCTATACTGCAAATCAAGTGATGGCAAACTGTAAAAAAGCTTGAAAAGAAGGTGAGAGACAGAATGAGGGGCCGGAATAAAATGCAAAATGGAACACCAGTTTAGAAACTGAGAATTAATAGTTCATTAGATGAATAACTTCCTTATTAGACCAAATTTGGCCCACAAGCCTAAATAAACCAGATTTTGACACCTGAAAAAGATGAAGACCAAAAGATGCCTCTTGCCCTTTCAAGACAGGAAGGCTTTTTATACATCTTCTCTTGAAACTGATGAATCAACTTTCACCAAACTAAGCAGTCATGTGGTTAGACAGCTGAGTTCTCTGATGGCCGGTGTCCTTTCAGCCTTCAGATAAGTGGGGTGTTGTGAAATCTCTGTCCTTGGAGATGTAAAAAGCACAAGAGAACTATCTGCTTCCCATGGATTTGCTTACAATCCTGCCAAGAGGCAAGAACAAGGAGCTGGCCTCAGGTTCCGTAACAACCTCCCAACCCCAGCTCCCAGTAAGAATGCCAACAGAAATGTCGCTTACTATTTATACTGCACCTGGTAGACCACCGGCCTTGTGTCATTGTTCAGGGACACGGGCTCCCAGCTCAGAGCCTGCTGGGCGTTGTACAGGTGAACCTTCAGGTTTTGAGGAGCAGGCAGCTGGAAGGGAGTGTCTTGACAGGGACAGAGAATAAGAGAAGGCGGGGAGAGGCGGGAGAGAAAGGGAGGGTCAAGAGGAGAAAAATCGATTACAAAAATATTCCAATGCACTCTACCAGACCATTCCTATGCCTTGTTTTTTGTTTTTTTTTTAACTAATTGCTATTGGAGTATAGTTGCTTTACAATGTTGTGTTAGTTTCTACTGAACAGCAAAATGAATCAGCCATACATATACATATATCCCCTCTTTTGGATTTCCTTCCCATTACGCCTCGGTTTTTGGTATTACCCGTTCTCCCCTACTCCTTTAGCCTTTGACTAAAGACGGCACTACTGACACAGACCGTGGGAAAAAGGGGGGCTTGGGGCTGCCTTTCCACTTGCAGGTTCCAGTCCTTATGAATGGGTCCTGGGTATGGGGTCTGGCTGAACCAGAATGCCTGTTTTATGTTTAGTAAGTGTGGGTAACTTAACAGCCCGGGCTTCTGTTTCTTCGTCAGGAATAAGGAATAAATAACAGTAGACTGCAGAAGGCCGTGGAGAAAATTAACTTGATGACCACTTGACATGCATTAGACCCAGACTTATACCAAAGGAGTGTTTGGTAAACTTCCACAAACATGGGTGCGCACACACACACACACACACACACACACACACACAGAAACACACCCCAAACCAGGCGTGCAAAGCCCACAGACACCTGGGAGGGTGAGGACTTGTCTTCTGGGCTTCATCAGAGTCGTTGTGTTTCTCAAAGACCCCCCAACATCACAAGCACTGAAGTTAAAATGCAGATTCCCAGGCACCACCCCAGACCAGGAATTCTGCATTTTCAACAAGCTTCCCAGCTGATTCTCATGCACACTGAAGTTTGAGAACTACAAACGATAGAATAACACATTCCCCAGGGAACTGCCACCAAGATCTGAATCCCCCTTTTTGGGGTGACCTGGGAGACACAACTCCAAGCAGGTGCTTTACAGGATTGGGCTAGAGGCTGCCCGCACGGGAGCCTTTTCTCTAGTAAGAAAACAGACTGTAATGGTAGACTTTCTCTGAGATTTAAAGCTTAATGGGGACTTCCCTGGTGGCGCAGTGGTAAAGAATCCGCCTGCCAACGCAGGGGACATGGGTTCGATCCCTGGTCCGTGAGGATTCCACATGCCACAGAGCAACTAAGCCTGTACGCCACAACTACTGAAGCCCGTGAGCTGTAGGGCCCGTGTGCTGCAACTACTGAAGGCTGCGTGCCTAGAGCCTGTACTCCGCAACAAGAGAAGCCACCGCAACGAGAAGCCTGTGCAACAAAGAGTAGCCCCCGCTCGCTGCAACTAGAGGAAGCCCGCGCACAGCAACAAAGACCTGACGCAGCAGACAAAAAACAAAAAAAAACATTAATGAGAAACACCCAGAGGTGGAAAGTAAAGTTTGAAAAACATGCCGTTCCAGAATTCAAAGCAGGAAACTCAAACCACACAATTTCAGTAAATGCATCCAATCTTAAAGAAAAAAGGATGCCCGGATCAGCTGATAGCCTGGCCTGCTACTCTTTTCTGAAAGGTACATTACCTAGAGTCTGTGGCCACTTGTTTACTTACAGAATGTCCACTGTCTTCACAGCTATGACCTTGGGCTGACCTCCATTCTAGATCTTAATTCAAGCAGCTCACCAGCACTGCTGCCAACTCACACCAGGCCTCATGGAAGCTGGGCCAAAGGCGCAGCATGGCGGGAGGCTGGTCTCCTGGTCAGGCCCATCTCACTCACTGTGGCTGCTATAGCCCAGTGGATGCCAAAGCTGAGCTGAGAAATGAAGTTCTGCTTCCAGGGAGGGATGTGCAGGGTCTCAGGGGTGAGTGCTTGGTTAGGACTGGGCACCCATCAGAGCATCCCGGAGACCTTCTACTGTCTATATTAGTTTTCTAGTTTAAAAAAATTAATTAATTAATTAATTTTTGGATGTATTGGATTTTCATTACATGCGGGCTTTCTCTAGTTGTGGCGAGCTGGGGCTACTCTTTGTTGTGGTGCGTGGGCTTCTCATTGCGGTGGCTTCTCTTGTTGTGGAGCACGGGCTCTACGAGTGCGGGCTTCAGTAGTTGTGGCTCGCGGGGTCTAGAGCGCAGGCTCAGTAGTTGTGGCGCACGGGCTTAGTTGCTCCACGGCATGTGGGATCTTCCCAGACCAGGGCTCGAACCCGTGTCCCCTGCACTGGCAGGCGGATTCTTAACCACTGCACCACCAGGGAGGTCCCCAGTTTCCTACTGATGTTGAAATAAATGACCCCAAATGTAGTTTCTTAAAACAACCCAGATTTATGCTCTTACAGCTCTGGAGGTCAGAAGTTTGCAGTAGGTCTCACTGGGCCCATGTCAAGGTGTCGGCAGGGCTCTGTTCCTTCTGGAAGCTTGCCTTTTTCCTTGCCTAGAAGTTGCTCACATTCTTTGGCTCATGGCCTCTGCCTCCGGCAATGCTGGGCTGAGTCTTTCTTGTGCTGTCGTCTCTTTGGTTCTGATTCTCTTGCCTCCCTCTCCCATCTTCCAAGGACCCTTGTGATTGCACTGGGCCCACAGAGCCCGACAATCCAGGATAATCTCCCCAGCTCAGGACCCCTAATTTAATCACGTCTGCCAAATCCCTTTTGCCATGTAAGATAACGTGGTCACAGGTTCCGGGGATGAGGATGTGGACACCCTTATTCAGCCTGACCCAGGACTCCTCCCCACCTCCCCATCTCTGGGGAGGGGCCAGAGACGTTCCCCCTCCCTCCGCCCTTCTCCTGGCACCCTCTTCCCCGTCTAAACATTCAGCTGAGAAAGGGAACGACAGGGGACCAGCGAAGTCTTCCACCCCAACTGGCACGTGGACCAGAAGAAAGCCTTCTGGAAAAGCTGGGGTCTCCAGATAAGTCTTCCACTTTCTTCAACTTTCATTTTACTGAGGCGTGGAGAGAAGACCTGCAGTTTTGCTCTCGTATTTGAGTTTCTAGGACTCCCCTGTCTCCCCACGTTCAGAGAAGAAAATGAGTCTTACGGCTGTAGATTTCACAGTGAACTACCGGAGGCCGCCCGCTCATCAACACCAACGGCTTCAACCCCGGCTCTGCACGCCTCTCGGGAGGCGCGGCCCTCAACGGCCTCCCGTGGCCTCCTCCTTGTTCCTGGGAAGCGCCGGGCACCCTCCCACCTCGCCTTGCCCTTGCTGCTGCCCTTCTCTGGAGCCTTCTCTCCCCCTGTGCCAGGCTCTCTCCCCCGCTCCCTTCATGTCTCTGCTCAGATGCCACCTTATCAGAGCAGATTCCTGCCTACGAAGCCCAGGGCAGGGGACTCCCAATTCCTGCTTTCCTTTTCTCCTGGCTTTCCCACCACCTGCGTCCTTTGTTTACACCCCAGTGGTGAGAGGCATGGATTCCAGAACTTGACTGCCTGGGTTCAAAGCCACGCGCTCTTTGCGGGACCTTGAGCAAGCTGTTTCCCTCTCTGTGCCTCGGTTGTCTCACCTGCAAAACGGAAACGAAAACAGTGCAGACTTCAAAGGGTTATTATGAGGAATGAGTGGGTTAATTTCACATGCGGTGCTGAGAACAGTGCGAGCACCACGTGATCGTTTCCCCTCCTCCTTGCTAGCAGCTCACTGACAGTCTCCCCCAACACTAGAGCAGCGAGCTCCAGGAGGGCTGGGTGTTGCCACACTTGGGGGCTGTTTCATCCCCAGTGCCTGGAGGACCAGGCACGCAGGATCTGGGGAGCGAGTGGCCTGCAGGCCAGTGGCCTGAGTTGCTTCAGGGATTATGTAGCCAGTTTCTGTGTCCTCGGTGTTGCATTTGTCCACCCAAAACCCACGCTAATCTCACTCTCTCTTTCTCTTCCTTGCTTTATGTGTAAGTCCTGCCTTTTCTCTGGTCTCAGAGGCTGGGGCAGGGAGTGGGTATAACTCTGGACTATGGACTTATCTGGATGGCTCTAAAGGGTCAACGTATTTAGGGCCATAGCACCTGCTGTCAACAGTGTTGACAAAGGCTCTGTGGGAAGGGAAGAGAATTTCTGGACAAAGGGCTTTGGCTAGAATCCTGATCCTGCCACCTAGAGCCATGGGATCCTACCACGACCCCACCTGAGCCTCAGTTTCCCCATGAATAGTGAAATGATACCATCTCTCCCAGAGATGCAGTGAGGGGCAAATGCAGGACCACGAATGAAAGGCAAAGCAGACACTGCTGCCTAAGTGTGATTTTTAAGACGTGCCCATTTCAGGGTGATCTGATGGATGGATGCTTCTGCAGGTGGCGAGCCGCAACCCGATACCCAGACCCTGTCTTCAGCGACCACCAACAGGGGGCCCAGCCCCATGCTGATCACTGTATTCAATGGTCTGACCCTGCTGTAGGCAGAACAGTGGCCCCTCCCAAAGATGTCTGTGTCCTAATGTATTCACAGAACACAGAAATCTTTGGGAGGGGATGAAACTTAGGGTTCTGAGGAGGACGCGGGGCGTGCACAGCCGTGTGGCAGACAGGGTCTTGGTGCTCGGCCAGGTGTCAGGCCTGAGCCTCTGAGGTGGGAGAGCCAAGCTCAGGACACTGGTTCACAAGAGACCTCCCGGCCCCATGTAATATCAAACAGCGAAAGCTCTCCCAGAGATCTCCTTCTCAACGCTAAGACCCAGCTCCACTCAACAACCAGCAAGCTACAGTGCTGGACGCCCTATGCCAAACAACTAGCAAGACAGGAACACACGCCACCCATTAGCAGAGAGGCTGCCTAAAATCATAATAAGATCACAGGCACCCCAAAACACACCACCGGACGTGGTCCTGCCCACCAGAAAGACAAGATCCAGCCTCATCCACCAGAACACAGGCACTAGTCCCCTCCACCAGGAAGCCTACACAACCCACTGAACCAACCTTAGCCACTGGGGGCAGACACCAAAAACAACAGGAACTACGAACCTGCAGCCTTTGAAAAGGAGACCCCAAACACAGTAAGTTAGGCAAAATACAAGACAGAGAAATACACAGCAGATGAAGGAGCAAGGGAAAAACCCACCAGACCTAACAAATGAAGAGGAAATAGGCAGTCTACCTGAAAAAGAATTCAGAGTAATGATAGTAAAGATGACCCAAAATCTTGGAAATAGAATGGAGAAAATACAAAAAATGTTTAACAAGGAACTAGAAGAACTAAAGAGCAAACAAACAATGATGAACAACACAATAAATGAAATTAAAAATTCTCTAGAAGGAATCAATAGCAGAATAACTGAGGCAGAAGAACGGATAAGTGACCTGGAAGATAAAATAGTGGAAATGACTACCACAGGGCAGAATAAAGAAAAAAGAATGAAAAGAGTTGAGGACAACCTCAGAGACCTCTGGGACAACATTAAACGTACCAACATTCAAATTACAGGGGTCCCAGAAGAAGAAGAGAAAAAAAAAGGGTCTGAGAAAATATTTGAAGAGATTATAGTTGAAAACTTCCCTAAGATGGGTAAGGAAATAGTCAATAAAGTCCAGGAAATGCAGAGAGTCCCATACAGGATAAATCCAAGGAGAAACACGCCAAGACACATCTTAATAAAATTATCAAAAATTAAATTCAAAGAAAAAAGATTAAAAGCAGCAAGGGAAAAGCAACAATTAACATACAAGGGAATCCCCATAAGGTTAACAGCTGATCTTTCAGCAGAAACTCTGCAAGGCAGAAGGAAGTGACAGGACATATTTTAAATGATGAAAGGGAAAAACCTACAACCAAGATTACTCTACCCAGCAAGGATCTCATTCAGATTCAATAGAGAAATTAAAATCTTTACAGACAAGCAAAAGCTAAGAGAATTCAGCACCACCAAACCAGCTCTACAACAAATGCTAAAGAAACTTCTCTAGGCAGGAAACACAAGAGAAGGAAAAGATTTACAATAACAAGCCCAAAACAATTAAGAAAATGGTAATAGGAACATACATATCGATAACTACCTTAAATGTAAATGGATTAAATGCTCCAACCAAAAGACATAGACTGGCTGAATGTATACAGAAACAAGACCCATATATATGCTGTCTACAAGAGACCCACTTCAGACCTAGGGACACATACAGACTGAAAGTGAGGGGATGAAAAAAGATATTCCATGCAAATGGAAATCAAAAGAAAGCTGCAGTAGCAATTCTCATATCAGACAAAACAGACTTTAAAATAAAGACTATTATAAGAGACAAAGACACTACATAATGATCAAGGGATCAATCCAAGAAGAATATTTAACAACTGTAAATATTTATGCACCCAACATAGGAGCACCATAATACATAAGGCAAATGCTAACAGCCATAAAAGGGGAAATTGACAGTAACACAATCATAGTAGGCGACTTTAACACCCCACTTTCACCAATGGACAGATCATCCAAAATGAAAATAAATAAGGAAACACGAGCTTTAAATGATACATTAAACAACATGGACTTAATTGATATTCATAGGACATTCTATCCAAAAACAGCAGATTACACTTGCTTCTCAAGTGCTCATGGAACATTCTCTAGGATAGATCATATCTTGGGTCACAAATCAAGCCTCAGTAAATTTAAGAAAACTGAAATTGTATCAAGTATCTTTTCTGACCACAACACTATGAGACTAGACATCAATTACAGGAAAAAGTCTGTAAAAAAACCAAACACATGGAGACTAACCAGTACACTACTAAATAACCAAGAGATC